CCAGATTTAAAAGACTTAGAATATTAAAATACGTATATTTAATATATTAATGAAAATATATTTAATTCAATCAAATATTATACAGTAATTATATGAGAACATCATTGAAATATATATAAATACCCACACTAAAGCATCATAGCAACCAGCTTTTTCTCTCTCTCTCGCTCACCAACACTTAGGAGCAGTCAATATACCCTCTATCTTTGCAGCCTCAATAGGCACTCAAGCATCAAAATAAATAAATAAAAATGAGCTCGGCACACGCCCAAAAACAAAACAAAATTCGCCTCAGCCTGTTTAAGCAGTCGGACAAATGTTGTTGCAACGGCCAAAGTTGTTGCTGTTTTTGTTGTTTTTGCTGCTGCTATGACTGCCAGAAAAGGCGGAACACATGCATATGTAGCATGTCTCTTAAAAAATTAAAATAAAATAAAATAAAATAATAAAAAAACGAGCAAACGTTGCGCCTGTTGCTGATGGCGATACGCCTGTCCACTGCACACGCCAACAGAATTATGCACACGCGCATAAATTATGACAAATATGCATACATCTATATTTATATATATACATATATATATTTCTTTCTTTCTTTATTTATAGTAAATTGAAATTTGTATTTAATTTATAGCTGCTCAGCCCTTTATTCACCTGTGCGCACAAGAAACTCGCTTTCAAGTTGAATGCCAATTGCGATGGCTTCTCTGACACATTTATCATACGCACCGTGTGCCACAAAAAAAAATGCATTTAAATGTCGCAAGCTCAAGCATCTCTCATAACTCAACTGCAGCTGGACTGCAATTGGCGAAACGCACTTTGCAAATTTTTTTTTTGCCACGATGCTTGCTCGGCATTGAAGTCGACTTCAACAAGCCATAGTCAAAGTCGAAGTGGCAGTCGCCGCTGAAGTGGCCGTCTTTGCCTTGTCATCAATGGCAATTTGTGGCTTGGCAATTTGTTTTATGGCACAGCAGAGATGTCCGTCCGTCTGCCGAGGACATTGAACTCTGGCGTTTCCTTTGACATTTGCAAGCAAACCAAATAATATGGAGAGACCGCACAGTCTGGTTCTTGGCACACACACAAAATATAATTTGCTTGAAGCTTTTAGTTAATGCATCAAATTGCGTCTTATGGCTACAGCAATATTTATGCATATATAAATCAAGTTTAATCATTCCAACTGAGTCAGCTGAGCCGCTGCCGTCGAGTCAGCGCTCCACTTCAAATTCCAGTCACATTTCCGTTTTGCCAAGTTCGTGTTTTGGGCACATTAATAACGCAAACTGCGGCTGTTGCTGCTGCGGCTGCCAGTAACTGCTGTAATTTATATTTAATATTTTAATTACAGCATATAGAATCGCAATGAATTGTCTGAGCGTGGCCAAGATCTAATTGGTCCATATAACCGCGGGGCGTACTCGAGTGGGTGACGCTTAGCCTGATGAATTGGCAAAATCAACTGAAAAACAACTGAAAAAAAAAAATAAAGCCAACTCTAAGTAGATTGCTTTTAATTAGTTAACCTTTGTCAAGGTTAGTCTCAGCGACTATTTGATTTTCAATTTTCTTGCACATTTTTTTTTAAATATTCTTTTGCTGTTAATTATTGCAATTACAGAGGCGATAAAAACCGTGGCACACAACACACAGTGAAGCCGCCCAAGAAACATTCTTATCTAGATCAAATGTTTTGCATAAATTGTGCAGTTATGCAAATCGCTACTAATTTTTATGATCGCTCTAAGCCAGCTCATTCATGCCTGGCTTATAGCTGTATTAGCCACAAGCGCATTTTTATTTCTTGAAAAAAAAAAAATAATAATAATAATAATAATAATAACAAGGCGCAGCTTGTGTGCACCTGTCAGAGGTTGCGGATGAAT